AAAAAAAAAAAAAAAAAAAAAAGAAAAAAGCTCCTTTAAAAAATGAGAAATAATTTTCCTCTATTTAAGCATAAAAAACACTTGAATTACTATATTCTTTGTTGGAAAGCCTCTGATGGATCTACTTGGGCATTGTTGGAATAAGTGTGAATTGGCACAATCCTTTGGAAATTATTTGGTGACATAGATCAAGAGCCATAAAAATGTTCTTCTTATTCCTATTAGAGGGACACTTGTGATAAGACCCGAAATCTTGGTGGGAATTCTAGAGAAATATGGCAACTATTTCAAGTCTCTTTGTACCATAAAACTTTTCCAGTTTGAACAAATGCTTGGGGCCCCCTCCCCAAATCTACTTACATCAATTATGCTTTTAATTTCTTTTATATAAATCTCTTCAGTCTGAAGCAAGTCACGTATGAGGCTCCTGAATTGCAGCAGTGGGCGGAAGTTTGAAAGAGAGAGAAAGAGGGAAGAGCGCTCTTTTAGAATAATGCTTATCAGTACAGTTCCCCTTAGGGCCTCCGCTACTTAGGTCCCAGTCAGTTCATTCTGTTCTATTGAACCCACAAGGCCAGCTTCTCGCACAAGCACACTCTGGTCACAATGGTATCAAGAAGAAATAGTAAGGTTAGAGGACTCAAAAATCCATTACCATAACCGGTGAATAACCTATCTTCTAGGTGGGCGATACAGTGTGGGGGTGGAAAAGATAGATTTGGGGTTAAAAAGAGCAGGTTTGCTTACTTGGTCACAGAAGGCCTACCCAACCCCTAACAACATTGTACCTGTGGTTTTCTATACTTTCTCTCCAGATTTCTGCTGTTGCATGGCTCACACCAAGATCTTTGACTGACCCATATGGATGTATTTTCATGTACATGGGGTTAGATGGATGCTAAATTCTTCCTCTGGCATTGGATGTTTCACTGTGATTTCCTAAGCCAAAAGATATGAGCCCTATCCACTTCCCTTAGGATGGCAGGTGGAGGATGGGGTGGGCAGAAATCCAAGATGGTTGTGACAGCAGTCAGTTCCTCAGTAGGACTGAGTTCCCTGCTTCCTCATAGCCTGTCAGTAGGGGCCATTCTCCCAGAGGCGGCCCACACTCCCTGCCATATGGCCCCTCCTTCTCAAAAGTCAGCAAAGGAAAATCTCCTTTGTGTTGAATCCTTCCTGCGCTTGCTTTATTTATTTATTATTATTTTTTTTTTTTTGGCAATTCTTTTGGCCAAGGCTGGGTTTGAAACTGCCACCTCTGGCATATGGGGCTGGTTCTCTACTCCTTTGAGCCACAGGCACCACCCTTCTTGTGCTTTAAATCGCTCTGATCTCTAGACCCAGATGAAAGGAGTTCATGTGATTAGGAGGGGCCAAATTGGATTATCTAATTTAATGTCAAAGCAAAACCCCTTCATAGAAGCATCTAATTTTTTATTTTTTAATGTAATTTATTTATTTATTATTTTTTTCTTTTTGAAACAGAGTCTCACTATGTCACTTTGGTAGAGTGCTATGGCGTCATAGCTCACAGCAACCTCAAACTCTTGGGTTGAAGCAATTCTCTTGCCTTAGTCTCCCTAGTAGCTGGGACTACAGGCCCTCCACAGTGCCTGTTTTTATTATTATTATTATTTTTAGCAACCACAAAGGGCTGAGAATTTTTTTTTTTTTTTAATTTGTTTGTTTAGCAGGCCTGGGCCAAGTTCAAATCACTAGCCCCGGAGCATGTGGCCGACACCCTAACCACTACCGGGACCCAGCCCATAGCAGCATCTAAATTAGGACTCACAGCTCCACATGAGAATATGGTCAGCCAACATCTTGATTTTAACTTTGTGAAACTAGTCCTATCGTAACCTGTATGTTTTACACAGCAACAGAAAACCAGTAATAAAAAGAGTAAGGCCAGGCCCCATATCGATCCCATACAGGTTGTTTTCTTTCTCTCCTTGGCCTATGTGGCCACATTATGCTTCTTTTTAGGGTTCCAAATAGGTAACTGTTTACACCGGTGTTCATGTGTAGAATACATACATACATGGTTTCTTGTGAACTGTTGATAGATTTTCAATTAAATGATGGCCTCTCTCAGAAAAGGATTTCTTTTCCACTCACAAAAACAGATACAGCAAGGGACAAATAACCCAACAGAAGAAAAGTGGAAGGATACAAAATAGGAAATTCACATAAATATACAAAAGACTATTATGGAAAAAAAATGCTCAATACACACATTCAAGAAAGGCCTATTGAGCAATAAGAAGGAGTAACAATTTTTAGCTACACGTACGGCGAAATTTTAAATCCCAAAGAAGGACCAATCAAGAAGGAAGTGGAAACACCCTCAAGATTGGTAGAAGTGTAAATTTGTGCAAGTTCTCGGCAGAGTAATTAGGAAATCTCATCAAAATTTAAAACACATGCTCCTTGATTCAGTAATTTTCACTTCTAGGAAATGTTCATTGTTTGTAATTAGGACACTAGGACCTTAACAACAATCAGATATAAGCTGGAAATGACTTAAGTGCCGATCAAAGAAGCGTGGCACGTATGTGTACACTGATGAAATGCTGTGCAGTTAAAAAGAATGAGGCGGATTGGAACATGCTGCTATGACAGAGCCCAGGTCTGATAAGTTAAAAAAAAAAAATGTATATGCTTAGAAAATTTATGGGCTCGGCGCCTATAGCTCAACCGGCTAAGGCGCCAGCCACGTACACCTAAGGTGGTGGGTTCGAATCCCCAGCCCGGACCCGCCAAACAACAATGACGGCTGCAACCAAAAAATAGCCGGGCGTTGTGGCGGGAGCCTGTGGTCCCAGCTACTTGGGAGGCGGAGGCAGGAGACTCGCTTGAGCCCAGGAGTTGGAGGTTGCTGTGAGCTGTAATGCCACGGCACTCTACCCAGGGGGACAGCTTGAGGCTCTGTCTCAAAAAAAAAAAAAAAAGAAAATTTATGCAAAGAAATGTAGGACTCTGTTAACAGAGATTGCTTTGGGCTGCTGAAGGCTAACATATGTGGAAGGAGAATTTCTACATTTTACTTTATACCTTTTAAAATGCTTTCTTTTTTAAAAAATAAAACATATACTGTTTTTATAATTTTAAAAAATGGTTTGCATGACATTTTAAAATGAATATTACTGGAGGTAATAATGTAAACTCCATTTGAGAGACATAAATAAATCATACAACTTACATGTTTTATAGCTCAACAGTTACTTAAAATGATCATTTTTGTATCCATTTATAAATGATTGTTATAAAACAAGGTGGATAAAGACTGACAAAGGCTATGCATTGACAGAGAATACAATTTCTAGGAGTGTCAAGACTGCTAAAAAGTCATATTAGGATCATATTTAGCTAAGAGAGTCGCTGAGAAAGTGGTTCCTATGCTTTTTATAAATCACCCTGCAAGAAGGAAATACAGATCTGCATACCAATATGTTTCTCTGAGCCTTGACATCAAGTGGGACCACAGCAACAGTTAAGCATTCATAGAAAACCCAAGTACAAGCAGCCTCTTATGCCCTTATGAAGCACTGGGCTTAGCAACTTGGCAAGTCGACTTAAGGATGTATTGACGATTAAATGAAATCAGAAGGCAGAAGTAACCAAAAGGTGAGCAGAAAGAAATTTTATTATTCAGCAATTTTGTAGGAATTTAAGAGACTCTTTGGAGCTATTAGAAATCTGACATGGGAAAATATTCACAACTCAGAAGGAAAAAAAAGTCCACTATCAGGTCATATCCCAGCTTATACTTTAGCAATACCCTAGGAATTTCATCCAATTGCCTTATTTTCCCTGCTGGAATGGGGCACATAAAACTCCAATGGGAGGAATTGCCCTGAACACTGGTTGTCTATATTTCAGTTCAGATTAACATGTAATTTTTTTTTTTTTTTGAGACAAAGTTTCATTCTGTTGCTCTGGGCCGAGTGCCCTGGCATCATAGCTCATAGAAACCTCAAACTCATGGGCTCACATGATCCTCTTGCCTCAGCCCCCCAAGTAGCTGGAAGTACAGGTAACCGCCACAATGCCCAGCTATTTTTAGAGACGGGGTCTTGCTCTTGCTCAAGCTGGTCTCCAACTCCTAAACTCAGGTAATCCACCTGTCTCAGCCTCCCAGAGGGATTACAGGCTTGAGCCACCGTGCCCAGCCTTAATATGTAAATTAAAAATCTCTCATGCCACTGTTCTTTCTTTCTTCTTCTGTATTCCTTTCAAATAGCTTTATAAAATAGGAGAAAATTTTTGACTCTTATGCGTGCTTCATTATTCCAAAGCATGTAACTCTATTCATAAAAGAAAGACTCTCAAGGATTTACCATCTAAAATCATAAAGTATACATAACGCAGATGAACAACAGAAAATATTGGCAGTACTCAAGTCCATTTAAAGACCTGTAAGCCCCTTATGTCCTCATGGATATCTACTAAGACATGGAGGACTGTAGTTAGGATTCCCAAGGGCTTTCTGATGCCAGAGCAGCCTGCACTAATGTGCTCTGCCTTAGTGTACACCCTGGCACTTTGCTTTATATTTCAAAACAGACCCTACCCCCTTCTTAGGGATTAACGGGAATGGAGGTATAATGTGTTTTGTTATTTATTCATTTATTTACTTACTTACTTATGAGATAGAGTCTTGTTCTGCTGCCCAGGCTAGAGTGCAGTGGCACAGTAACAGCTCACTGAAACCTTGAACTTCTGGGGTGCAAGTGATTCTCCTGCCTTAGCTTCCCAAAGCGCTCAGATTACAGGCATGAGCCACTGCACTCTGCCCCATTTAAACAATGTTTCTTCTTTGATGCAGTAATTCACCATAGCATGAAAACAGAGTTTTGGCTATCTGGTTCCATTCCACATGACACCTCATACTTGTTTCAGATGATGCCACAACCAAGGGGCAAGAATGGAAAGAATGTCTTTTTAAAAAGTGAATGCAACCCTGTTTGGTAAGCAAGATCATTTCAGTAGGATTTCCTGAGAAGTGTCTTCTGCGTCTATGCTCCCTATCTGCCCCCTTCTTTAAATGCTTGCCACTTCCTTCACCACCCTCATTTCTCAGCTCCATTTTGGTGGGGGATGGGGGACCAGCCATCAGAAGTTTATTTTTTCTCTTTTTTTCTTTATTAAATCATAACTGTGTGCATGAATTCATTTATGGGGTAAAATGTGCTGATTTGATAGACAATGTGAAATGCTTATATCAAACTGATTAACATAACCATCATCTCACTTTGTTGTGGTATATTTTTCCTCTTACTGTCAACACAATTTGCCACCCAGAGTTTTGATTTACTTCTCATAGCCTATAGTATCATACATTTCAGAAAATATTACGAATTTTCACTGTTTTAAAACCCGAGCTCAGATCTCTCTTTTTTTAAAAATTTCAGGTTAATATGAAGG